ATAGGCTAGGAATTTATTATAGCATGTATGAAGTTGTATAGAGCCATAGTGTTCATTGGCAATGACAGTATCATCATCGCCATATAGGACAGTTTTTACTAGCTGTGATAAGTGTAATTTATAGCATTATCTTTAAGAACAGGTTTGGTATGTTGTGTGTTATTGAGTATTGGAGAATATTTTGAAGGAATAGGTATTGATGAATAGAATCCATAACCAGATCATTGTGGAATGAAATAATCAGATAAAAGTTCTGGTTCATTTGATAAATGTATTAAGCACTCACTATAGTCTAGTTTAATTGATATTGCTAGTGTAAAGTTGTAAAGATTTAGTAGTGTGTAATTGTAAGGATATATGTGTTCAAGAAAGGAGTAGAGAGTTTGTGGATGTGAAAGTAAAGGTAGACTTTGATGGGCTAGCCATTTGTTATAGCATGAGTCTGAATCAACTAATGTATTGTTTGATGGGCCTTGTGGTGTTTCCTTGAAGTGTATGATGCAATGGGATTCAAGGAAGTAAAAAGTTCCTCTGTAGATTCGATCACCATATGCTTGGCTCTCACAGCTGCAAAAAGTTCCATAGCCTGCTTTGTATATTGAGTCTGGCCATCATAAACTTGGTTCTCCACGTATTTAAATTTATTTTTTAGATTTTTATATTTAGTAATCTTATTATAAAGTTATATTTATTTTGATACTAATTGTATTTTTTTATATAATATTATATAGGTGTTTTACTTTTAGTTATATTAGTATAATTAAAATTATAAATAGAGTCCTGATTTTTCTACACTCTTTTTTTATATTTCTACACTTCTTGCATATATAGATAACATATATAATAAAAGAATAAAATAAAATGTATATATGTATATACATATATATTGACATCAGACAAACCAGCATTAGCATTTTGGTTACTTCTCAATCAGATACATTGTGTAACCTACAAACAGCTTAGTTGATAGAGGTGGTTAGATTTGGCGAGTGAATAGTTTATGATCATAGGTATTATTATAATGACAGTAGAATATTTATTATTAGGGAACGAATTTTATTAGAATCACAAACACTCTCACTCTCTTTATAGGGCTCGAAGCCTTTATTATATACTTTCATTTACATAGGACATGTTATACACTGTATTCGTAATATATCACTTATACTAATTATAACATTTATACCAATTATACTGATAATAATGTTTATACTGATTATTTTACGTATATCACTGATACCCATTATCTGCCTGATACATAGTATACATAGTATACTGCAGATACAGTGTATACTGTGTATACTGCTGGTAAACCTATTTCAGGTATATGATCTACATAGCCGTCAGTCCATTACTGTGCCACACTGATTACCTTCTTCTAGAATCACAGTCCTATGGCTCATAATATATATAAACTACAGTAATATATAAAAATATAGTAGAAACTATTATAGCATAAGTCATAACAATTTTACCATATTTCTTGCTAGACATGATATAAAGTATTTTGGCAATATTTTAACATACAGTGCTTTGGCAATATTAAATAGTTGGATATCAATTTAATAATTTTGTGAGTGATATTTATTAATAAGATGATATAATTATTGTATTATAGTTTTGCTTAAGAATATTGAGAGTATAAAGTGTATTTGATGTTTATGAATAGTAATGAATACATTATATACAATAGTATACATGTAATATAAAGAAAAAATTGCAAAAGAAAGCTTTTTTTTACTTACATGCTTGTTATATTTTCCTTGCCTAAGTAATGACTACAGACTATTGTAATACAAATTACTATGTTAGCTTTTTCTGCCAGTGGTCAATTTCAAAGCTAAGATTTTTTAATTGAATTTGTACAAACATTTGATGTTTTTAAAGTCTATATCATATCTATTGCAAGATCAAAAAAACATAAAGTTTATTTATGTTGTGATCAAAGCAGAAAATATAGAAATTGGTTAAATCTCACAAATAAAACATATAAAAAAAAAACTGGTACTAGATTAATTGAATGCCTTTTTTTAGTATATGAAACCAAAGAATTAAATAATGTATGAGCCTTATCAATTCAAAATCTAACACATAATCATAGACTATCAGAAAATATATTTGCTTATCTATCTTTTAAAAGGTTGGATATACAAGCATGAAATATTATTATCTTTTTATCAGAATAACTCTTCAATATTAACAATATCATAGAACATTTATAACATTTGTACAAAGCTTTGTCAAAAAAATTTACAAGAATATACTCTATTTAGGCACTTTTAGAAAAACTTTAAAAAGGTCAATTTAAGTATAACTATAAGTATAATAATAATGGACATGTAACACATCTTTTTTTCTCATCATAAGTCTATTGAGCTTGTATGCACCTATTCTTCTGTATTGCTTATAGACTGCACTTATAAAACCAATAAATTCAAACTACCTCTTCTTAATATTGTTAATATAACAAGTTTTAATACAATGTTCTTTGTATGTTTTATATTTATTAAAGATAAGAAAAAAGAGGATTATGTTTGGGCATTATCTTAAATATCTCAGTTATTTGATGGTATTGAAAAAATAAAAGTTATTGTAACTGATTAAGAACTAGCTCTTATACATGCTCTTAAACATATATTCTCTTATTCAAAAATCTTCTTTGTATATGACATATAGAGAAGAATATACTTACTAAATATAAAAGTCATTTTCATACTGAAGAAGAATATGTAACATTTTTATAATGTTAAACAAGCATAGTAAAATCTAAAACAGATAATAATTTTAATATACAATAAATTAAATTATATATCAAATATAACAAGTTTCTATTAATTATTAACTATATTCAAGATATATGGTTGCTTTTTAAAAAAAAATTTATTAGTGCATAGATTGATCAATATTTTCATATAAGCATCATAGTAACATTTCATGTAGAAGAAGCATATGTAATATTAAAAAAATATTTGCAAGTCTTAATAGGCAATTTGCATTTAGTGTATTAAAGGATTTTATTATTATTAGAAAATTAGCATAATGAAATTAAAGAGATAGTTAAAAAAAGAAAACTTATGTTCTCATGCTTACAATATTTCTTTTTATGCTAGATTGATTCTAATATTTCTTCATATGTTTTAAACAAAATATATGAACAATTTATTAAAGCTTTAAATGCAAGTTATGATAATCTTTTTGAACCATGTACTGATATATTTAATGCATCAATAGGTCTTTTATGCACTCATCTAATTCAAAAATGTTTGGCAAATAATCAATTACTAAATCTTAGTAATATCTATCAACACTAGTGAATTAATTATTACCATTTACCTTTACAAAATTATATTTAAAATAAAGAATATTTATTATCACAACTATTAAAAGAGCTTTGCCAACAATATGTTTCTTGGTCAACTTTCCAACAAGAAGTAGCATGAAATAAATTGTCAACTTTAATTTGAGAACTACTTATGGTCTTATTAGATCCAACAGTACAACATTTTAGAGAGCAGCCAACAGGCTTATTAAACAAAGTTCAGTCTTTTATTAAAAGAAATCTATCTGAATTTGAAATAGAGAAAACTAGAATGAATGGAAGAAAATGTAGTATATGCAAAAAAAATAGATATAATATTTGGACATGTCCTGATTATGCAATAGATGTATTTTAAATAGCAATTAATTTTTCAAATTAGTAATAAAAGATAGTATGCTATATACTTTGCAATTGTAGTACTAGAAGAAAGCATTTTATATTAAATATATTATTTGCTGCTAAAATTGCATGTTAAATATGTTTTTATAATACAAATAATTTTATTTTATTTTGAAATTTATAATGATATTAATTTTAATAACCTTTTTTGTTATTATTTTTTAGTTCTAATTTTTTTTTTTACAGTTGTTAGAATAATACTAATTTTATTAGCTTTCCAGAATCTATATAAGAAAAATAATCGATTGTATGAATTTAATAGATTACAAATTTTTTTGCGATGATTTTTAAAGTTGAGAATTAATTTGATAATTGTATAAATTATTGTTTAAGAGAAATTTAGTAAAATTAATTTTTTATGTTAGGATACATTTAAATGAATAAGAAAAAAAAGATAATAATAACTGCTAAATAGATTATTATAATAACAAAAGCAATAATAAAATCAATATCTTTAGTAAATTGTGATATTGTGATATTGTACATATTAATATAATATGCATCACCTATATATGTAAGGGGTGTGGAATATAAAAAAAGGATGTAGAAAAATTAGGACTCTATAAATATCTTAATTCAATATAATCAAATAATATATTATAACAAGAGTTTATATTATTTTTTTTATCTCTTTTTACTATTCTGAAGATTCTTAGACATTTTTAGAATTTGTTACATCTTTTATAGACCAGAGTTATTATTCTGTAAAAATTATCAGACAGCATGTGATCTTTGCATATCACTAAACTCTTGAAATAACTTATGCTTCTTCAAGTCTGCTATATAATATCCTAAATCTTTAACCTTGTAGTATAAAACCTACTATTTTTTTTAGTTTGCAGTTTCTTAACTTTACATAACCCACTAGCCAGATTATTCATATATTTTAAAGTTTTTAGTTTTACAGTTATATATTCTTAAATTAGGTTATCTTAATGTTAATATTATTTGTTACCAAATTACATCTTATCTGACTGATTCTGGCTTGTAGCTATAATAATAATACATGTTTTTTATATAAATCTTGTTTTTGTTTTAAATAAGTCATCTTAATAGTATCTAAGTGCAACTTATAATACTATTTTAATTAAAGATAAACTGCATGTCTAATTACTTAAAGCTATATTAGAAGGATCATTTTTCTTTTGTAACAAATATATCAATTGTCTTTCAAGCTTTTTTCTTTATTTAGTTTACTTTTTTTATTTTTTCTTTTTTTTTTGTTAATTTCTTTCAAACTATGTTTCTTTTTTATTTTACTTATTATATTAGTCACTTTTTTTAGTTTTGTACTTTTTTATATCAAACTTTTCAATTCTAATTATAAAAAGTATTTTATAACATTTTTGTTATTATATCTATATATTTCTCTACTACTTGTTTATTTAAGAGTTTGCCAAGTCTTTTTTCTACTTTTACTACAATTAGTTTTTTTATTAACATATTTTTATTTATAATTTCTTTCTTTTCTATTTCTCTAAATAATGTTATATATAGTATTTGTAATAAAATTCTGTTTTTTTCTTCTTCTTTAAGTCTGCTTTATGCTATTACTGTTAATATTTTTTGTATTTATTTTTACAAGCTTCTTTGTTTACTACAACTTGTTATATATGCTTAAATTTTATTTTTCTTATTTTGACATATCTGATATTTTGTTATTATATATACTTCTGATTTTTTTTTGTTTAACTCTACTAATGTTAATAAATTATTTATTACATATTTGTTTGTGACTTTTATTGTACTAAGTTTTTCTTAAAGTACAATATACTCCTTTTGTTTTGCTTATTTTTTTTAAAAAACTTGATTAGTTGTAGAATATATGTTCTATTTCTGGTTTAATAATCTAATTGGCTTTGTTTTTTTCTAACTATATTCTATTTTAGTATTTGCAATTATTTTGTAAAGAAATTTTGCAGATATGTCAACTTTCTTATTTTTATACTTTAATTAGTACTCTATTTTATTACATTTAACCTCTTCTGCATAGATTAATTCTTTGCAATTTGGCTTTTTTTTTATAAGAAGATCTGCTTTATCATTTTATTTGTCTTTATTATAAAATTTGATCTAAGTTAATTCTAATCTAATATTCTTGCTTTTAACTAGTTCTGCAATATTAATATTCATATCACATTTATTTTTTTAAAAATCTTTTTATTTTTTGTATTTTGTAATGCTTTCTAATATTTTTTATTACAGCATTGCTATCTGTACAAATTTCTATATATTTTTTTGGTACTATTAAAATTGCTGCCTATATTGCTATTAGTTTAACTAATATTAATAAATGTCATTTTTCTAGACCTAGTGCTACTTTTTTTGATCAATTTTCTTTCTCTTTTACTTGTACTTATTTGATATCTATTTTCTCTATACTGTTTTTTTTATCTTTTTTGTATAGTGCTTTATTTGTATAAAATAAATATTTTTTTTTGTTTTTTTTTGTTTTTTTCTACTATTTTTATTAATTAGTCTATAAGCATATTATTTAACTCTTGTTTTCTTACTATTTTTACTTCTAGTTCTTCTACTTGTTTAAGCTCTGATATTTTTTTAATTTTTTTTTAATTTTTTATTGTTTTGTTTTTTTTTTAGTTAGTCTATTGCTATATTAATCTTGTTGTTACTTTTTTTTATTATTGATTTTGAAATAATCTTTATACTATAATCTAGTTATATTTATCTCTTATATTAATTTCTTATTTGTTCTTGTTTATTCTCATATTCTTTGCATCTGCTTATTTTTGTAAATATTTTACATTTTTCTTTATGCATTAACCAGTATTTATTAAAACCTTCTTGTCTTTTTTAGCTATTTTACCTAATTGTTGATTGTTCTTTAACTTATATATAATCTATTTTTTTCTTCTTCTGTCTTTTTCTTTTGTTTTTTATTATCTTTATTTATTTAATTTTTAGTACCTATATATTGTAATCATTTACTTTGTATTAATTATACATTTTCTTGCTTGCTTATATTATTAGCAATTTTTTTCTATTTTAATAAACTATTTTGCTTTTTTTCTTTATATGACTAACTTTGAAGACTTTTAATCTGTTTTTATATAATTAAATTTTTATTTTTTATATTTATAAGCTGATTCAGATATATTAATTATAGCTTATTTATTTTGTTGATACTCACCTTTTCTGTTTTTATTTTTATTATATCTTTTATTTTATTTTTATACCTATATACTTTCTATAAACATCTATTAGCTTAATGCTTATATTTATTTCTTTTGTTTTGGTTATTGCTTAGTAGACTAAATTGTTCTTTTAATAATTTTTCTCTTCTAACCTTCTTTCTAAGTTTTATATATTTTTATTTAAATTTGTAATTTGGTAATTTTAGACTATTCCAAGTCTTGTTAGTTTACTTAAATTGGTTTTTTTGTTAAGTCTTAAGAATATAGTATTATAGGCCAAAAAAATATAACAATTTGTGCATAATAATACATAGCATAAATGACAATCTGAACCCACACATTGTGCATATATTGTTAACTTTCTCAGAAATAGTGAAACATGCATAATTAGGCCTCTATATCAAGAACACAAGACAAAGCAGTTGTGCCCAAATTGGAGAAAACATTACATTGTGACAGCAATGTTTCAAAGTGGTAAAATGCAAAATAATAAAGAGACAGATTAGTACAATTGCATTAAAAATAAAATAAAATAATACAAACATAGTAAAGTACTTATCTGATCAAGTAAAACTCATGATAGTACAATTATAGAAAGGCAAATTAATAGGAAAAATAAAATTATAATCTAAAAATAAATAGAATCTATTAGTATAAGTAAAATTGTATAAAAGCAAATAAAAATTTAATAAAGTTACTTATCTTTTTGCACTTCCAAGTAGTAAGAAGAGGGTTAAAATTTCTGGGTAGTAATATTAAATAGTTTGTAGGTTAGTTAGTTATATATTAAATAAAAAAATCTATGTAAAATAAAAAAAGTAAAAATAAAAATACTCATCCAAATCAAGTCTATACCTTGAAGCCTTGTAATCTAAAATACAATATTATATAACATCTGGTTAGTAGAAGTAACAAACTCACTGTTTATCTTTCACAATAGTACTTATTTGTTTTGCTACTATTTCTTGCTCTAGTAACTTGCAATTGTCAAGATCTTTGTGTTTTATTATATAATTATTTGCTGTATGCATTATATTGCATTTGAGTTTTGTCAAGTATATGAGTAGTTAGTATATTTTGTTAATTATTTCTTCAGTCAATTTTATTAATTGTAATTAGTATTCTAATTTAGATATAATTACTGTATATGATTTGGCTTATTGTTATTTTTTTGTATTTATGATTTTTAACTATTTAATTAACTATTTTTTTTGCCTTTTTACTAATTAGTAACTCTTTTATTATATTGTTTGGCCAAATTTCAATAATTTTACAATTTTGTTTTTTGATTTTTCTTTTATCTTATTTGGTCTAAATATAATTTTACTTTTTTTCACTTTGAGTCTAATGTTTATTATTATATGTTTTAATTTAGATCTATTTATTTTGATATCATTAACTTTGAAAATTTTTTTTGTAATTTCTAAAATTCTCAGTATCTGTTTTTTGCTATTTGCAATCTATATAGTATTATCTGCATATGCTATTGCAGCTTGTTTTTAATTCATAATAGTGTTGCTATATGTTCTTTTTATTAATTTTTGTTCTATTATGTAGGCTAGTAATTTATCTTATTGGACTCTTTTTAATAATGAATTATAAAAAAGCTGCTATATTAAGAGTAAGATTACTTTTTTTAGTCTATTTCATCTTCTATTATTTTTTTTTATTAATCTGTATGTTGTAATAACTTTTAATTATCTTTTACAAAAGAGATTTATTATGTATTTTCTTGTTTTTTGCAGTATTTAACTCTTTTGAGTGCTTATTCTAAACTTTTTAGTTTTTTTTTTTGTTGTTAAGGTGAAGTTTTGCTTATATCTTTATTAGTAATTTTAGTTGTATATATTAATATACTATATATTAAATATATACTAAAATTCTATAAATGCAGTCATCATTTTATTAAATAATACATTTATAATAGTTAATAGGAAAAATAATGTATATAGACAGATAATAAAGCCTTTTTATATAAAAGGCCAGAATAATAACAATTAGACCCAATATACAGAGCAGACTATTTTTTTGCACAGCTGTAAGAACTAAGTATACAATGATTGATCTTGTAGAAAACAATATTAGAAGATCATTTTTAATATTTTTAAGCTCTTATAATCTTTATGCATGTTTTAACAAATTTTTTTTTTACTATATAATTTATTACTTTTTCCTTATAGCCAAACTATTCAATCTCTTATACAATATATTGAAAATATAACTATAATAATACTGTTTTTATTATTACTTTTTCTGTTAGCAACACTTATCATAAAACCTATATATATCATTTAAATAATTTTTTTTGTTTAATTATACCATTATTCATCTTTATCTTTTTTCTATTTTTTACAATCTTTCTCTTAGATTAAATTTCTCTAATTTTATATCCATTCTTCCT